CCAGTTAGCTTTGCCATTCTCCACACCAAGCTATGAACTCGTCAAAGGGACAAGTGAAGCCAATCCCTCGACAAACGTTCTGCCGAAAACGGTTACACTATCACTCCTCTTTCTGTCTTGGCCTATCTATCTACTCTTTACTCTATCACAACTTCTCACTTGTTTACATTCCACACGTCAAAATGTGTACCCTTTAGTGGCAAAACTAGTGTGGCCTCATCACACTTGCTATTCACCCCGATCCCTCTCTTTCGATCGGCTGATCTGACTCGGGCCTTCAATCCGGATCCCCCTCATTGTCTCGTGGATCCGTTCCTTATCTTTCCGGTTGACCGATTCCACTCGGGTCAAGTCCCTGTGTGAATTTCACTCCAGGCGCTGTTTCTCAAGACCCTAGAAGCACATACACTGCCGCCTCACTGAGCAGAGCGCCTAAGCTCTGATTGCCATGCTTGCAGATATCAGGCCTTCCCTACACGGGTCCTCCCTTTCATTAAACCCATGTTATCTGAGCAAACTGTTGACGCCTATCTCTGGTTGCATGCGACATCTCAGGTGGATTTCTTGTACATTTTGGCCATATCGCCGAATTTCCGTGACGGTTTGCTTATCCGTCTGCCCAGCTCCCTGACTGCCAGGCGCCCAAAGTTGTTCTGCTCTATTCAAAACCGACATCACTCACTGACGACGTCTTCGTTTTATTGTCGAAAATTGCCGCCCCCCCCTTTCCTCATCGCGATCCCTTTTCCTCCGGTTAGCGGTAGATCCTTGATCCAGGCGTCTCCTCTTTGCTGGCCTTGCTCTATTCTTGTTTTCCCCTAGTTTGCCTAAGCAGTAGGCAAAGTTATCGTTAACTCTACCTTGCTCCATGGTTTTACACGAAACTTCACTTAGCCGTCTCTTCTTTCCTAGTTATCTTGGGGAACATTGATGAAATGAGATGTATTCAGCCTATTTCGTGTAAGGTGATGAAGGACTGGTAGTAGAATTTACCCACAATGATATGAGTTGAGCTGACGTTTCCATTGAATTTCACATAGCCTTGCTTTCCCAAAAGTTGTTTCCTTCATCTCATTACACTGATTTACTGGTAGTCTCGAAACTCTACTCACTTACGAACATTGATGAAACCCATAGAAGCACTGTACATGTCATTCCAAATACCATTTGGCTTACAACGACGATTCCGTCAATCCTGCTCGCAACCTCAACGCATACACGCCCCACAAAGCACACCTGTTCAACCTTCAATGCCACTGAAGGCTACTAAGCCAAGGGTCTCTTGATCAGGACCCCTTTAAGCTCAACTTTCCAACAAACCTACCTTCTAATGGCATCCAGCAGCCGGTATCCTCTTGCAGGCTCACGGATGGAGAAACGGCCGTAGATTGCCTTCTGGTCCTGTCAACCTCCCAACTCCCTGGCCGACTTTGTCCATTCTCACACTACTCCAACTGCTCTCAGTAAAGTGTGGCTCTCCAGAGAATGGGCAAACTGTAAACCATTTGACACATGACTGTCAGAAAATCTGTTCTAAGCACCGAGGCAGATCGGGCGTTATTCTACTTTACGTCCGACTATCGTTTGACGCGTAAAAACAGGCCAAGATAAACATACGCACATAAGCATACACACACACACAGGCACACATAAAGGCACGCAAACACTGTCGCAAGTTGATCGTATAACAGATAACAGCGCATACACTTTCCTACAAGTGTCCATTCCGAGCCTACAAATGTATACACGCTCAAGCAGTCATGTAAACACGGTGAACATGAGCGGTCACTTGTGTCACGAGTACGCACTGGCAATTTATAAGAAGAGTGATACGAATAAACATGCACGCAAGCACACGCTAACATGCAGATCTGTTCACTAGTTCACAAACAAACACAATGCGTGGTTTCAGACAAACCAACAAACCAACAAACCAACAAACAGACAAGCAGACAAACACATACACACGCAGAACCGCTCAAAGAGCGACAAATGCAGACATTCCGCTGTATCGGCGAGCGTCATCGGTACCAAAAGCCGATAGTTCTGGTGGTGCCGCGACTTCTTCTCGTGTCCGGAACGGCAGAGGGCACGATGTTCTGCCCGTACCTGCGAGGTGCTGTCATGTCAGCTGCTGCCTGACATGGTCGTAAAAAAGGCACACATGCACACTCGTGCATGCACACAATTGGGTAGAGGCCGATGCGCTTGTTCTGAGGTGCGCATGTCATAGGACGTCGTCTGCTGTAAACATGAGCCTTGGATGCCGTGGCTTCAGGCCTCACGCGACGATGCTGCCTCAGTTCGGCCAGGCCGCATGGCCAAACCTGTCAGCCCCCGCTGCAGCTGAGTCGGTCGTCCGTTTTGAGCAAACAGCTTCTCCTGCGCAAGGCCATCACTTCACGCCAATCGGACATGGGACTCCCGAGCGCCGGATCAATCCTCTTCAGTAAGCACTCTTTCAGTCTCATTTGCATTTTCCTCTTTCACTCCTGCCAGTAGTATCCAAGGCGAAAGTAGGCCTAGGCGAGATGAGCTGTACGAGGAGGGTGACAATGATCGAAGTGTTGAGCTTTACGACCTCGAAAAAGGTACAGAGAGACCAGGAATTCACTCATCTTTGGTCGCCCCTAGGGTGATTTACGGACTGATGGAGGTGTTTTTTTCATACAACCATATGAACAGGCCTTATGACGCCTAATCTCTCAACATTTTTTCCCATCCACACCTTCCCGGCTGGGCAGTAACAGCACCCAAACGGGCGAAACGCCAACATTTCGCTGCCGCCTTGGCGGCCAGTGATTCATGGGGAAGATGTGGCATTCCAGGCGAGTCAGGCCTCCCGAATCACACTCATTGTGGGATAATTATCAATGAGGTAAACATGTATTTGCCACTACAATCGAAGTCATTCCTTATTTTCTGTGTGAGCAATTCTTGAATTATTAGCTCCCCTTACGAGATCTGATGTGACTAAGTTCTGACTCAAGCCTTACTGATAATTTCGAAACATACCTACACAACCGCAAGTAATGACTGCGATTGTAGGAGCAAATGCATGTTTGTCTCCTCGACACTCCCACTGTATGTGTGATGTGCGAGGGGCTTAGTGCCAATAAAAGACACACCCGCCCAGTGACTTATTAAAACTTTAGGGCTGTGTGACGCCGTGTTAATGTGTCGCCAAGGTTTCGACTCTCGCCGGAGGTGCTGGTGAGACGCGAACGAGATCGAGACTACCGGAAGCCTTTTGGGTAGAAAGGTTAAGCAAAATTCACCGGCTCCACTAGACCTCTTCTTATCATTGTGGAAAAAACTGCATTATTAATGACCTAAGATGGCTAAGTTTTATTCAAGAACTACTCCGACTTTCGAAACATATTCACATGAAAATGCTAATAGGACATACAGTCTTTCAGAGTCTAAAGCCTCTGATGGGCGACTACAAGCTTACTGTGGCGGCTGTCGCGGAAACTCTTCAAGCTGACTACTTCTTCTCCACACAGTTGGGGACGGGGCTTGATTCCAGGCCTCTTCTGGGATTTTTCTCCTCCTCTACAATCTCTACTATATAATGGAATGATGGGCAGAAAGAAGGATGTATTTCTTCGAGAATGCAGACTCTGCAACTGAGAGAATGAAGTGCAAGGGAATTGCTTGCTAAACGCCCCACCTTCGCCTCCTTGTGTGGATAAAATGGCTTTTATGGAAATTTCCCATTCTCAAGTAGCATAGTTGATTTATGAGCAGACCTATAATTTACTTAACTCTTTGCCCACCTCTTGACAGGAAGAGATAGGAGTAGAGTTTATGCTCTTCATAGTTCATTAGTATTGTTTGCACACTGGAGCATTCTTTGTAGTTCCCAGCTGGGCATTTCATCTTTTTCCTGCGCTCCCTTTTGTGGGGATCTGCTTTAAGCCATCACTCTAATGCAATTTGGGAAATAAAGAGTTGAACTTGAAGATAGTCACATTCAATCATCATTTGATGAGCCATTCTTCAGTTCGGTATGAACTTTAGTGAACCTAAGTTAGTTAGCGTTAATTGAGGACGGAAAGAGATTATATATTCGCATAGAAAATAACCATCACCATCAATTTTACTGGAAAATTTATGTTTGCCTCATCTACAACTCCACTATAAATGTGATTTACCTTGAAAGTCATATCTTCCCGTGGCTGTGTAGCGGAGTAGAAACGTTCTATTATGATGCTCATAACAGAGTTTCGGCTTTTGTTGGGGGTGCTGATAAGACGAATAGGTTAAATCGAGCCTGTAGTCAATTCGAGATG